CAATATGGGCCAACATTTCTAAAGAATGCTTTCAGCACCTTGTTGAATCAATGCCACGTAGAATTAAGGCAGTTCTGAAGGCAAAAGGGGGTCAAACACCGTATTAGTATGGTGTTCCTAATAATCCTTTAGGTGAGTGTATTTGTATCTTTCTGTGGCATGGGGTGGGGCGGAGAGAGTAGGATCAGCTATGAATAATCTTGGGGGTGCGTCTGTATCTTTTAGCGGAACTTGACAGCCGTTCATTCAACAGGCCTGATGGATGACTTACTAAGCCTGTCATTTCTGATGGTGAACATGCATCACAGAGATGTCCATCAACTTATATGCAGGGCAGCGTTTCTGCGCAGAGAATGAGAGGGAAGAGTAATCACCTGATCAAACAGGAACAGAAATGGTCACTTCTAACGCTGCATTGACATCTGGACTGAACGACTCAATGCTGCCACCTGCTGTTGCCTCAGGGGATTCATCAGCAGCATGTCTGGGGCCAAAGGCGCCGATTTTGTGGGAAAACACATGCAGCACAGAGCCGTTCAGAGTGGCATCCCCCTCACGCAATGTGCCTCCAGCTTGCCTGTATTTCCCGCTTCACAAACTTGGCTCCTCTGTCATTAAACACCAGGGATATGTTACATTCCCGTGACATAAAGGGCTCAAAGTTAGTTAGTTAGTTCTGTTTTTCATAAAAGTGTGATAAAAGCCTCGGGTAATTTGACATTAAAAAGGCCATCTGTGCGTGTTTATGACATTTTTCTGTAAACTTTTCAGGCTGCATCTCCAGGCAATTCTGCACGGTGCAGTTCACAGTTGTGCAGAATCCATTTCTCTGTATTGTGTATCCATTCAAATTCACGTTGGCATGACAACAAACTATTTTAAAGTACCAGCAGAATGTGCACTATCTTTAGTGTAAAAAAAGGAAACAGTCATGGTTCATATGATAGTTTTATAAACATTTTGTAAACAGTTACAGGACTTCCTTCTATAGATTCTCCTTTTGAGGTTTCCAAATGTACACAGAGCTTTAACCGAAAACTAAATACTTATAATTCTTTCCTATTTTACATTTATTTTTAATTCTTATGTGTTACCCATGATAATCTATTCAACACAGACTAAATAGGTTAATATATGTACCTTATTTAAGAGCTTGCTAGTTCAACCAAAAACAATGCTTCATTAACATCTAAAAAAAGCAACTAAAAACAGAGGTCAAGCGTAAGCGCCATTTATATAGAATGATGTATTTTCTGTTTAAGTAAATGGTTAGCATATTTTGTGTTAAACCTGCCATTATAATTTGAGTTTTATTAGCGTATCTTACAAGAAAGTGCTTCTCCGGTTAGCTTTTTGGTTTGCGACTGCCGTAAGGGGTATGTGTCAGAGGAGCAATAAAGTTTGTTTTTTGAATGTGAAAAATAAAGAAGTGGACGGACGTCAGGAGCCACACGGCTGTTTTACCGTGATCGGTAACCTGTGTACCAGTTTAATGCATAAACATTCTACCGTCATTCATTTCATAGAAGTGGTCAATTGTTTTAAATTGCCGACATAAAGAATAACGTTTTCGACCTAAGATGACCACTACATTAAAGTCCATTTAAAAAAAGCATCGAGACATTTACTTTAAAATTTATCATAATCCAATTAATTACATCAAACAAAAAAATTAATCAGTCACTTTATAAGTGTACGTTCTTTCTATGAATATACATGAACGTGTCTTAGTGGGTTAGGTCTTGCCCATGAGCAGAAGGTCGCTGGTTCAAATCCCAGGGCCAGCAGACTGATTCTGCCGTTGGGCCCCTGAGCGAGGCCCTTAACTGCTCCAGGAGTGATGCATGTGGGCTGACTCTGTGCTGTGACACCCCCCCCCCCCCCAAATGTGATCTTACCTGGATAGGAGAAAAGAGACTTTCCCCAAGGGATCACTAAAGTATCACTATTCCATCGTAATCCTATCAGGGCCAGCTGGGCTTCATCACTGTAGTACAAGTTCCGTGATGAATGACCTGCATGGGTGACTTCCCCCAACCCTCACCCCGTGCCCCCACCGTGCCTCTTGCTGGTTCACACGGCCAGTAACCAGTGGGGTCACATCAGCAATACCAGGCTGTAGTTGGTCCGCTCTGTTCCTTTAAAAATATCTCCTTAGTAGCTATCAGGTACAAGCAACAAATGAGCTCACTCTTATTTCTATTTTCTAATTGCCCCCAGTGAGCGAGCTGCACATGTAGCTTCTGGTGCTGGTGAGTGTGCCAGAGCGTGACTTGGCCAGACCCCCCCTGACACTATCCAGCCTCCTGCAGCTTCCACCGTTCCCTAATTACTGCATCAGGAGCGAGAACAAGACCTGCACTCAATTCCTAGAGTAAATGTGAGACAGAAGCATACTAAGGATGTGTGATGAACACACTCCGGAGCCTATTATGGATGCCCCACAAAGGTCACGCTAAGGTTGGGAATTGGGCTTATTTGGTCCCTGGGTCACATGTGCGTGTATTCTAATTACCTGCCAGTTACCTGCAGATCAGAAAAATACCCATAACATTGTGTCACCTGTACATCAAGGTGTGCACTGGGAAAAGTAAAACTGACAATCTTCCTCCACGCTTCCCTCTCTCAGCTGATACAATGCTGAGATTATTTTTGTCTATATATTGTAACTTGAGTGTCCTGACCCATGACATTACACGTCTCACCTTCACATATTACCCTGTATAGTACTAGGACCACAGTAGCTGCTATTAAACCAAATTATAACAGCCTAAGGGAAAGTTATTTATGGATATAAACTTGATCAGCCGGTCGCTAAGAACTACCATCAGCTGAAGCAGTAAATCACAGTGTTTTACTCTCGAATTTGTTTGGACAGTTCAGCTTAGACAGATGTTTCTGTGTCACCCATTTTGAATGCAAATGGTTTGTTTTTGAAACATGGTAAATGTAATGTTTTATTGTCTTGTTTGGTACTTCAAGAAGCCAGTTCCAACTAGCGATTTGATTTCCCTGATATACTCAGAAATCTCCCACAACCAATTTAAATGCTGAAAAATACAGACGATTGTCCTAAAAGTGTAACTTCATTATAAATGTATTTAAACTATTATTATTATTATTACTATAGTCAACCCTTCCCGTGATCTAGAAAGCCATGTAAAAATTGTGGTCCCCTTGGTAAGCGAAGCGATGAGATACAAGAAATGTGAGATACTAAGATCACTGTGAGATCACTGCGAGAAGCTGCTGTAAAGGCACTTGGTGTCCTCTAGGTTAGCACTATACATGCATTTTATGCATTTATGGGTGACTAAATGTTTTATGTGTCATATGCTCGTCTGCGGCTCTCGCAAAATTCCCAAAAAGTTCCCATTTGATTTCCTGTGCCAGTCCGAGACGTATATCGCAACCAGGTTGGGGAAATTCATGCAGAAGGGTGGACGGTATTATTATTATAATTATTATTGTTGTTGTTGCTGTTGTTATCACTATTAAGGTTTGATTATTCGTATCCCAACAAAACATCTCGTGAGGTTTCTTTTACAATCCATGTATCTTGGTTGCGAGACATTCATTGGAAATATTCTGCATATTGTGGCGATTATTGCATTTTGCCCCATAATTTTAGCAGTTCAAACCATTCATTATGGTAATGAATCTGCATTTCAAATAAAACCACATTACTGGTGCCACCCCAAAGAAGGCACCACGGAAGTGATCCTAATCGCCCGAGACACGCAGAAGCACTTTCATTCACAGCCGTCGCCTTTTCCTTACAAGTCTGGTCCCCACGCCACTCAGAAAGTCACTGCTCTGACTGTAGGAGGAACAAAATTGTCCCTTCGACTTTAAGAGTGGCCAGACTCTGTAATTCGAGAGACACAGTTAGACAGAGAGACAGAGAAGCCTGTTAGAATTATTATTTTTTCCCCCCTCCTTGGAGGGCGTCTCACTGCTGGGAGTGCACGAGGGGAGGGCTGTTGGGCACGGGACAGCCCCTCTGCGTTCCCTCCCCCTGCCCCGTTCATGAAAACCAGCTGCAGGGAGCTCCTGGCCCCAACTGGAAAGCAGTTATTTGAATGGAGGACTGAGGAGACTCTCTACAGCGGCTGCCAGTATGAGATCCTGCTGTCTGCTTCTCAGTGCCCTCTTGGCTCTACTCCTCGTGCCCTGGACCAGCCTTGGAGGTAAGTGCACCGGAATATCCTGCACGCATGAAAATTATTCATTTGGAAAGGACTTTAACCAAGTGCTACAGCAGAGTCCTCACTCCTGCTGGTCGTGCTCTTTCTCTTCTCAAAAGTGCTTCCATTTCGCATGCTCAGCTACAGCAAGGTGTCTGGTGCTTTAGGGGTGTATGACAGCTTCATAATCTAGAGGAGCACCTCCACCTTCTGCAGGATGGAGGGCTTCCAGGTGGTGGCCCATGGTGGAGCAAAGGGGGCTTGGATGATGGTTTTGTAGGGTGCAGGGATCGGGGCACAGTGCCACGGCCAAACACAGGCTGAGGTGTCCCACACTCCACGGTGAAAGGCTCATTCATCTGATGGAGGGACTTGG